CCTGTAGTCCCAGCTACTTGGGAAGCTGAGGTAAGAGAATTGCCTAAGCCCAGGAGTTGGAGGTTGCTGTGAGTTGTGTGATGCCACAGCACACTACCAAGGGCAATAAAGTGAGACTCTGTCTCTATAAAAAAAAAAAGAGAGAGAAATCAGTTCCACTTCACATGGAAAGCCAAGGATGTAGAGTCAAGGTATTATATTCAGGTGAAATATCAAGACAGGAGAGGAGAGAGTCATGTATCACACTACTTTTGGTTTATTCCTATGTGTAACACTACTCCTCTCCTTGCTCCCACTTCAGTGGGAAGGCAAGTGTTAATCAAACACTGTTGGGACCAAACTAATAAACATACCTGGGAAAATTGGCAGTATTAATTAAAACCTAAAATCTTCTTTGCTCAGGATGCAAAAGTTAGAGTTCTAGGGAGTTTACTTACAGTACAACTCGCTGAGAGCAATCACCAAGTAAACATACAAAGCTTTCTTTTTCTAGCAACGCGTTTGGTAAAACTGAGGAAAATCAGTGTGTGGCATTAGTAAGAGAGAAGAAGAGCTGGGAAATCTACTACAAATGGCTCAGAATCCAGAGCAACGTCCCACCCATCCTTCCCACTTCATCTGTATTGCCTGTTTTCCATTGGACATTGGTTATAGATTGAGGGCATGTGTTTTTGTTTTAGGAAGCAGTGACATTTAAGGATGTGGCTGTGGCCTTTACTGAAGAGGAGCTGGGACTGTTGGACTCTGCCCAGAGGACACTGTACCAAGATGTGATGGTTGAGAACTTTAGGAACCTGCTCTCAGTGGGTGAGGACAGCCTCCCTCTATAGTATCTTTGCAACCTTGGAGTTTTAGGGTTTGAGGCTCTTACAATGGTTCCCTGAGTATGGGGATCTGACTTTCCTGATTCTTGTGGGATGGAGAGACACAAGATGTTTCTGGTCTTTCTGAACAGGGTATTTTAGGTCTTTTTCATTTGTGTTTTATAAAAGATCTGTAAATAGACAGATTACAGCCATACCTTGTCTGTTCATTTTCAAATTTCACTCCTCTCTCATTAGCAAATTATACTAAATCTCACCAGTAATGAAATTTTTTTTTTTTTTTTTGAGACCAAGTCTCACTCTGTCACCCTGGCTGAAGTGCCATGGCATCATCATAGCTCATAGCAACCTCAAACTCTTGGGCTTAAGTAGTCCTCCTGCCTTAGCATCCTGAGTAGCTGGTACTACATGTGTGTACCACCACACCTGGCTAGTTTTTCTCTTTTTAGTAGAAATGGAGTCTCGCTCTTGGTCAGGTTGATCTCGAACTCCTGAGCTCAGGCACTCCACCCACCTCAACCTCCCAAAGTGCTAGGATTACACGTGTGAGCCACCTCACTCAGCCCCCTAATTCTAATTTCTTAGGTCCTTAATTCTGATTTCTCTGGGTGTGTATGTTTGTTTGCCTGTCTGTACAAGTAGATTCACATCTTGGGAACCTATAGTATTGTAGTTATAACCAAACTAAATAATATGTGACTTTCTTTGAGCTTTTATAGCAGAGCCTATTCATTTGGGGAGGAATTATTTTTATAAGGATTGTTATGTCTATTTCTTATTAATCCCCTATATAAGAAAATAAAATTCTATTTCCTTACACTTATATTAGAGAACAAAAAGTCTCAGAAAATGGCTTGCAAAATAGCTTTTCTCTTAGAGCATTTGCCCAGCTGCATCCTATTTGCTTGTTCTAAAGTCTACATCAAATAAAGAAATGGCTCTTCATTGTCACATGTACATTTTCTGTGTTTTTAGTTTGTATGTATGGCATTACATTTTATGTAATGACACCACGATAGCATGTGATGATTCTTTGGTAGTTTCTTATTTGTTTTTTCTAAATACTTATCAAAAATTATTAAATTTATTTCACAATTTACTAATAGACTGCATTTATCAATTTGGAAAACATTCTTTTTAAACACAAATGTAATATATCTATATCCAAAATTTTTCTATACTTTACTTTCAAAGAGATAGCATTCTTTCCTAGCCTCTGAATTTTGTCTTTTATTGGGAAAGTGAAAACAGAGAGACAGTACAAAAGCCTCAGAAGGATCCACTTTCCTTTCACTCCAAGTGATTTTTAACACCTTTGATTTTTTTTCCTTCCAAATTTATCCCCTTGGTGTAACCCTGCCTCAGGTATACCTTTTTCAGCTTCTCAGCAAAACTGTATTTTCCAGTTCTTTTCGTATTTCTGATACCTTGTTAAAGCTCTTTTGCTTCTATGACATGGCTCAAACTTAAACTTGAATTTGGAGTTACAGGGAATGTTAGAAATCAAACTGGGATTCATCTGTGCATACATTTCTTGAGTACCTGCTAACTGCCAGGCACTATTCTGGGCTGTGGTTATAAAACTATAAGCACTCTATGGCACCTATAACTCAGCTGCTAGGGCACCAGCCATATCCACTGGGGCTGGCTGGTTCAAACCTACCCCAAGCTTGCCAAACAACAATGACAGCTACAATAAAAAAACAGTCAGGCATTGTGGCGGGTTCCTGTAGTCCCAGCTACTTGGGAGGCTGAGGCAAGAGAATAGCTTAAGCCCAAAAGTTTGAGGTTTCTGTGAGCTGTAACACCATGGCACTCTACCGAGGGCTACATAGTGAGACTCTGTCTTGAGAAAAAAAAAAAAAAGAGAGAGAACTGTGAGTACTCTAAAATATTTTTCCTCATTAATACTACATCATAGTAGGAAAGATATGTAATTTGAAAAAAGATTTAGATAGTATGTCAGTAGTTGTGTTTTTGAATGGATTTCAGTGGTACTTAGTAGTTGAGAGCTTAGTGGACCATTTCTTGGTTTTTGTCAATATGTAAACCAGAAAACTTTCTATGTAGTGAAAAAGATAAGATTAGCCATCCTGGCTTTTCTGCTCTCCTGCTGTGACGGGAAGAGTAGGAAGCCCTGACTCGAGTCTGATAATAAAAAAACCTCTTGCCCTTTGGAAAAAAAATAAAAAAAGATTAGCCATCCTGAGGTTCATTAAAGTCTCATACTGTGTCTTAAATGTTACTTGAATCTTGAATAAAAAATTCACCTGCCAGGCAGCACCTATGGCTCAGTGGGTAGGGCACCAGCCCCATATACCAAGAGTGGTAGGTTCAAACCTGGCCCCGGCCAAACTACAACAAAAAAATAGCCAGGCATTGTGACGAGTGCCTGTAGTCCTAGCTACTTGGGGAGGCTGAGACAAGAAAATCACCTAAGCCCAAGGAGTTGGAGGTTGCTGTGAGCTGTGTGATGCCATGGCACTCTACTGAGGGTGATGAAGTGAGACTCTGTCTCTACAAAAAAAATCTCTATATCTTTGAATTTTTTGTCCTTACAGAAGAGAATAGTCAAAGTGAGTTAAGGACTGTTCAAGATGGAGGATCAAATGAAGAGCTTTCCTGTTGGGAAATCTGGCAACAAATTGCAAATGATTTAACCATGTATCAAGACCCCTTGATAAATAATTCTCAGTTTCATAAACAAGGTGATTCCCCCCACCAGGTAGGGATAGGACTATCTATTCAACTTTGTGAATATAATAATTATATATTAAGTCATAAAGCAGATGGTCCAAACGATACTAGAAATCCAGAGTTTCTGACTCTGAGAAGCCACAATTCTCTGAAGAAATCTTTCCTGACCATGTCACAGAATTACCAGAATGGATATCAGCAAGTTCCCATCAAAAATAAACTATATCAGTATAAGCAGGGTGTTGACCCCATCAGTTGGATTTCACATTACCGTGATTATAGAATACACAAAAGTGGAAAATGTTGTAGATCTGATGATTATGGAAAAGACAGCATGAAGATTTTGACATTTGATCAGAACAGCATGATTCACACAGGACAGGAACCTTACCAGTGTAACAAGTGTAAAAAAACCTCCAATGATCTTTCCAGCTTTGATCTTCAACAGCAATTACAATCAGAGGAGAAATCTCTTACATGTATTGAGTGTGGAACAGGCTTCCATTATAGCTCATTTCTTCCTGTTCAGAGAGTTCACATGGGAGAAAAACTGAAGTGTGATGCATGTGGTAAGGAATTCAGTCAAGACTCACATTTACAAAACCATCATAAAGTCCACATGATAGACAAACCATACAAATGTAATCAGTGTGGGAAAGGTTTCAACCGTAAATCAGCACTTAATGTTCATTGCAAGGTCCACACAGGAGAGAAACCTTATAATTGTGAAGAATGTGGGAGGGCCTTCAGTCAGGCCTCTCATCTTCAGGATCATCAGAGACTCCATACTGGAGAGAAACCGTTCAAATGTGATGCATGTGGTAAGAGCTTCAGTCGGAATTCACATCTTCAGTCCCATCAGAGAGTTCATACAGGAGAGAAACCATACAAATGTGAGGAATGTGGAAAGGGCTTCATTTGTAGCTCAAACCTTTACATTCATCAGAGGGTCCACACAGGAGAAAAACCCTATAAATGTGAGGAATGTGGTAAAGGCTTTAGTCGGCCTTCAAGTCTTCAGGCCCATCAGGGAGTCCACACTGGAGAGAAATCATACACATGTACTGTGTGTGGGAAAGGCTTTACTCTGAGTTCAAATCTTCAGGCCCATCAGAGAGTGCATACTGGAGAGAAGCCATACAAATGTGAGGAGTGTGGGAAGAGCTTCAGGAGGAACTCACATTATCAAGTTCATCTAGTGGTCCACACAGGAGAGAAACCTTACAAATGTGAGGTATGTGGGAAGGGCTTCAGTCAAAGTTCCTATCTTCAAATCCATCAGAAGGCCCACAGCATAGAGAAACCTTACAAGTGTGAGGAGTGTGGGCAGGGCTTCAATCAGAGTTCACGACTACAGATTCACCAGCTGATGCATACTGGTGAGAAACCATACAAATGTGAAGAGTGTGGAAAGGGATTCAGTCGTAGAGCAGATCTTAAAATTCATTGTAGAATCCACACAGGAGAGAAACCATATAATTGTGAGGAATGTGGGAAAGTCTTCAGGCAGGCATCAAATCTTTTGGCCCATCAGAGAGTCCACAGTGGAGAAAAACCATTCAAATGTGAGGAGTGTGGGAAGAGCTTTGGTCGGAGTGCACACCTGCAAGCCCATCAAAAAGTCCACACTGGAGAAAAGCCATACAAATGTGAAAAGTGTGGGAAGGGCTTCAAGTGGAGCCTGAATCTTGATATGCATCAGAGGGTGCACACAGGAGAGAAACCATATAAGTGTGGGGAATGTGGTAAGTACTTCAGTCAGGCCTCAAGTCTTCAGCTTCATCAGAGTGTGCACACTGGAGAGAAACCATACAAATGTGATATGTGTGGTAAAGTCTTCAGTCGGTCTTCACAACTTCAGTCTCATCAGAGGGTTCACACAGGGGAGAAACCTTACAAATGTGAGATATGTGGAAAGAGCTTCAGTTGGCGATCAAATCTTACAATTCATCACAGAATCCATGTTAATAAATCCTATAAAAACAATAGGGGTGATAAGAATATCAGGGAATCCACAGAGGAAAAAAATTCTATGAAATGAGTTTTTTTTTTTTTTGATGACTCAAGTGTCACATGAATTCTTCCAATCTAGTCTCAAAAGAAGAAAAAATAATTTGTTTCAAGTAAGTCAGTGCCTCAGCCATAGATCCTCAAGTCCTAAAAGAGAACCCTTATAATTGGCATACTGAAGACTTCAGTTACAACCTTCACCTGTATAAAATAGTACTTAGAAAAGGAGTGTTAGGATAAGAGCTTTATCAGATCTTTTCCAAAAGAATTGCTGTGGACATACCAGAATTAGTGTCCACTACAATGTTAACTTCATAAAGACAGAGACTTTGTTCACTACTAAATTTACATAATCAGCCTCATGCAAATGTGAGGAGTATGAGAAGATCTTCAGGAGGAACTCACATTATCAGGTATTATTACCATTAAATACTTTAATAGGTACTCAATAGTGATTAAATTAATAAATGGAAAAAATATACAGTATTTGAAAATTGTGTTGAGATTACCTCCAGAATATAAATTTGTATTTAAAACAGGAAACCTGAAAGTAGCCTTAAGAAAAATTAATTCAGAGAGACAAGAGTGGGAATGTAGAAAAATGTTCAATACTGCAATCTTAATTTGGCACTGTCCTATTATAATTAGCTCTTGTTCTTCCCTAGCCTATCTTCTCAAGTTGAGTCCTGTCTTTCTGGACTTTTGTCTAATGTTCTATTAGTTTTATATAGATTCAGTTACTGTTTAGGAAGTGCAGGCTGAGAAATCAATTTTGTAATTTTGCAATAATGGGACACTGTCATCACTGTTAAAGCAGGCATTTAAGTGTCAGAAATGTCAATGACAAACATTTCATAGTAAATGTTGAGCTAATGATTAGTACTTATTCTCCACATTTTTATTCAGGCTTTTGACATGATTGCCTTCTAAGGGTCTTAACATTACTTTCATCAAAACATGGGTAAAGGCCATTTGCAGTAGAATAATTAAATCAAGTTCTCTACCCTATATTCTCCTTTCCTCTAATGTGAAAAAGGACAAGGCTCGGCACCTGTGGCTCAAGCGGCTAAGGCGCCAGCCACATACACCTAAGGTGGCGGGTTCAAATCCCCAACCTGGGCCCGCCAAACAACAATGATGGCTGCAACCAAAAAATGGCCAGGCGTTGTAGCGGGCACCTGTAGTCCCAGCTACTTGGGAGGCTGAGAAAGGAGACTCGCTTGAGCCCAGGAGTTGGAGGTTGCTGTGAGCGTGATGCCATGGCACTCTACCCAGGGGGATAGCTTGAGGCTCCGTCTCAAAAAAAAAAAAAAAAGAAAGAAAGAAAAAGGACAAAAATTGAATTTGTAGAATTTGATTAATTTTATCAAACACATAATTAAGGCATGACTGACACAATTTTTAGCAATGAGTGAAAAAGGCTCTTGGAAGAGGAGTTAGTATGTATCAGTATATAATGTGCATCCCTTTGCTCTGGAAATCTTAAATTAGGAGATTCAAATAGAAAAGGTGAGTAGCACATGAATGATATTGCTGAATTTTGTTAAAAGTGGAAATTTTTTATATACTCGTTCAAAAATGGGGATTTGTGAAAGTGACCGACTTAACAACAGATGTAGTTGAGGAACATCACATATCAAATCAAACTCAAGTGTGTCCATATGGATGAGTGAGTAGCACTTCTGATCATGTATGACAGGCTAGCCACCCTTAGGTATGCAGTGGCAAGGACAGTCTACAGAGATCTTTTTCATATGTCTGTATTGATGTTTTCAGTGAGCATCAATTTAATAAAATACAGTTACTTTAACCAGGTTGTAAAAGTATTTAAAATATAAAAGTAATTAAAGAATATTAATTCCATATAATTAAAGGATCATTAATTGGCACATAAGGCCAACATTAAGGAATGGAATTCTGGAAATCATTTATTTCAGAAAAAAACTTTATGTAACAAAGATATAGATAACATTGGTGTGAGTATATATTTACAGTTAATGTATTTTGAGCTTCTTAGGTACAGATACATGCAGCCTACAAGGTTTTAGTGTAATTTGAGTAGTAGGAATTAGTGCATCTTCATTCCTGTCAGACTTCCTTGGTGACTGAATGGATCACCTTATTCTTTCAAGTGCTTGGTCTGATTGGAGAAGTGGCTGAGTCTTTCCAGGCACTTTTCATGGCAAAGAAAATCTTCAGCTATGGTAAAAAAGAATGGTGAAAAACTTACAAGTAACAGAGAGAGGGCAATTCTAAAGATAAGAGATTGGAAATAAGTTTTGGAGGCAAAATTAATGAAGATTCCCTGAAGAAAAGATGCATATAGGGAGGGAAACACATGATGCCAGGAGAGACTAATGGGAACGAGCAGTTAAGCAGAATTGAATACCCTTCTTAGGTATTTTAATGATGTTTAAAATTATTTGGTTAAGGAGCTTTACTCAGCAAGGATTTTGTATATAATGTGAGGGGCAGGTTTCTATAATTTGCTGTGGTTTCTTTGTACCATCACTGGTAAGTATGTAAAGACCATGCTACCTCAAATTGTGTTAGAAGTCCTTTGCCAATTAGTTTACTCTTACAGGTATCAGTATCGCTCACCATTTCTCAAGGTAATTTGTAGTTTTGTGGGTTAAGCCAGGGGTTGGCAAACTTCCTCCTTTGGGCTGAATACATAGCAAGGCCTATTCTTTAATGTAGTGTCTATGGTCACTTTCTCAGTGCAGTAACAGTTTTGGACAAATACTATGGTCCACAAAATCTAAAATACTTCCTGGCACAAAAAAAAGTTTTACAAAAAGTTTGTTGAATGCTATTTTAAGCAAAAATGATCTATCTCCCATAACTGAAACAGTAGAGTAGGACTTAGACCTGCTTCAGTCAGGATTCCATAGTGGTTGCCTTTAGATTCTCATGTCTGCCCTTCTGTTGACCTTGGTTGTTAGATTGGTCTAAAGATAACACTAGCAACCAGGGAACTTTTTTACAGCCAACAGAATGATGCAATAGATGTTGGATAGTTCACTACTCAATCCCATTGTTCATGGCATCTATGAACTTGACTCCCATTTACACTCAGAATTAAACTAACTATGTATCCAGTACCCTTGACCTATGTAGGCTAGTTGGTTTCAACTCCCATTTGCCACTGTGGGCTAAAATTTTTTTTTTTTTTAAGAGACAGAGTCTCACTTTATCACTCTCCAGAGAGTGCTGTAGCATCACAGCTCACAGCAACCTCCAACTCCTGGGCTTCTGGGCTTAGGCGATTCTCTTGCCTCAGGCTCCCAAGTAGCTGGGATTATAGGTGCCCGCCACAATGCCTGGCTATTTTTTTGTTGCAGTTTTGACAGGGCTGGATTTGAACCCACCACCCTCCGTATATGGGGCTGGCACTCTACTTTATGTTGGTCCTCTAGGAGCTTTTTCTATTTCAGCTTTGAGGTTGGTTACATAGTAACATTTTGGGGAATTTGTTATGTATTAGCATTTTTTAGTTTTTGAAAAAGGAGGCACCAAAGTCAAATTCGATGGTTGACTGACAACACATTGAATTCAAAACCTTGTAAAGTCTCTTATCTCACAGGGCATCAGTAAGAAAGGGTGAAATCCTGAAAAATCAAGATGGGAACACAAGGGCAGATTCCAATAAAGCTGAGGACTTTACCACTAAATTTGACAGACCCTCCTTTCCTGTTAGAGGAGCCCTTCCTTCCCTGTCTGAGGTTAGTCTCCCCTTGCTTGAGAAGGATACTGAATCAGGTGCCAGTTATAATATAATGGTGAATTACTCGAGGTTTGTTGTTATGGGTGCACTGAACAGTAGATCCAGGTTCACTATGTTAGCTAGAGCCATTGGGAATGCCTTTAACGTTTGCTCAATTGAGCGACTGAAGCCTGAATACAAAGCTAGTCTACCTTAAAGTCAAAATGCCGGAACTTTGTTAAGTATGTTGTAGAAGTTTCTCAACCTTAGTACAAGTGACATTTTGAAAAGAATGGCTCTGTTGGGAGATGTCCTTTGCATTGTAGGATGTTTATAGTCTGCCTGACCCCTAATCACTACATTCCAGTAACACACATGCATGTGCACACACACCAGTCATAATAGCAAAAATGTCTTCAAACACTACCAAATGTTCCCTGGGGTGGGGTGGAATAGAGAAGTGGGCAGAATTGCCCGCAGCTGAAAACTGTTATAGAAGAACATATAAACAAGAATGCCCGAATACTGGAGTGGATTTATCGTGGAAGACTTTACCCAACCCCTATGTGTCTTGGGAAAGTACACAGAACACTCTTTGCCAAATATTTGAGAAATTCATTGGTAAAAGGTGCATTTGCAGTCTAGGAGAGCTCCATAGAGACTCTTCTTTGCAGAGCAGGAATCAAAGAGGAAAATTAAGACATCAAGTTGAGCTTGTGGAATTCATTGAGGAAGATGAGATCATGAAGCATCAGGAGTCAAGTGGAGTCACTTTATTAGCAAAAATAAAGTGTATTTAAATGAGCAGCAAAGTCAAAGAGATCCTCAGAATGGTTTAATACACAAATATTAGAAGCCTCAAAATCCTACTTGATTTTAATAAGTGGAAAATCTCTCCATCTGGTAAGTCAAATGAGAGAGTTATATTCCCTCAGCCAATTCCATACTATAAGTTCCTATTGCCAGAGTACCTTGAATGAAGAACAGGTTAGGTTCCCTATAGGAAGTACCCTGATATGTTGCCTAAACAGATTTATACTACCATAAATCAAACTGAAAATTCAAGAGAAGATTTGCAAGGGCAAAAAAGATGAGCCACAAAGGTGGATTTCTCAAAGGGGCTCAATGTGGATACTTCATTAGATTCCAGGTGTTTCCAGTCTATTGGGTGAGCTCACTTTGGTGCTGCTCTTGATGCCAAATAGATGTCCATCTAACAGAGGCTTTCTTATAAATTACATTTAGGGCCACGCCTATGGCTTAGTGCATAGGGCGCCAGCCCCATATACCAAGGGTGGTGGATTCAAACCTGGCCCCGGCCAAACTGCAAT